TCTGCCATTAGAGTGGTATCGTCTGCATATCTGAGGCTGTTGATCTTTTCCCCAGCAATCTTAATTCCCGCTTGTGATTCATCCAGGCCAGCATTTCGCATGATGTACTCTGCATATATATTAAACAAGCAAGGCGATAATATACATCCTTGGCATACTCACTAACTGTTGCTTCTTGACCCTTATACAGGTTTCTCAAGAGACATGTGAGGTGGTCTGGTACTCCCATCTCTTTAAGGACCTGCCATAGTTTGTTGTGATCCACACAATCAAAGGCTTTAGCATAGTCAATGAAGCAGAAGTAGATTCCTAAAATGTCACAATTACAACCGGAACACACTGGTTGCAGTTTGAATAGTCATACGTATCTCCATTTAAACTCCATGAAATCTTCTGGATTCCAGCACCACATCAACCCTCCAGCCTTATCAACAATCCATTCTTATACACAACTCTGAAAATTTGGGACCGCAGACAGAAGTGTATAGCTCCTCCAATATCCCCACTATCAATGTTTACTTCTCAGCAATGGTTCATGCCAGGGATGGAGCATCATTGGAAGTGTGTCAGAATGCAACACTCACTGCTTAGGCTCCACTAGACTGTTTTGGATTGCTAGCTATTGGGTGGGGGGGGGATGTGCAGATCTGTCCTCGCAGAGGAGGGAGAGCTTGTACCTGAATAAAACTTGGTCTTCAAAGTGCCACTGGACTGTTTTGGGCCGGGGGGCTGGGGGGGGCCTCTGCAACTTACCAGGCTGCTTCTTGCTCTGACTGAGGGCTGCTGGGAGCGGGGGGTGGGGCTTGTTGCATGTGCCCGCCCCCTGGGCTCTTTACTGCCAGAGCTCTGCTCCTGTGCGCTCCTGCAGGAAATGACCCCAGCTAATGATAGTTTATTAAGGTGAAGCAGAATTTATGCCTTTATCAGTGGTGCTGCTATCTGGTCCTCTTGGAGGGATTCATTTTATGGCCCTGGTCAACTATGGCACCAACTTGTTTTCAGAAGCCAAGTGATACAAGGTTCAAGCTGTTCAAACACAGCTCACTCAGTGCGGTGCCAGCTTCAGAAGTGGAAACACACTAACATGTGTTCCAGGAATCATGACAGTATGGTGCTGATAAACCTCTTTTATAGTTACTGCTGTTGTGGCACACCTGCTTAATGTTACCCATAAAATGTTTGGTGGAAAGTGTCATGGCTTATGGAAGATGACTCAGTATCAGTATGGGATGAGTTGGGATAAGTGTATAGCGTCATTTCTTGAAGGATAATGATCTGCTCATCCGTTTTAGGGCACAAACAGATGTGACAAAGATCTGCATCACTCTGTAAAAAAATAAATTATATTTGCATGCACAGCTGTGACTTGATTTGGGGTTGCATGGGAAATTCTCCAGAACCAAATGGGTCCAGCGTCTCTATTTCAACTGCTCCAGAAAAGCAGGATGGCACTCGAGCGCACATAGTTACCATAATTATAGTTGTAATGATCATCAGTACGGAGACAAATCTCATATGTTTTTTCAGGAAGATGTGAATCTCTTGGAGACAGTCCTGCAATATGAGAGAAATAGTTTCAAGGACAGAAAGATAAGTTAAATGTCCCTTTGCACTCTATGATCATACCAACCCTTCACAAATTCAATGTCTTTTCCTGGGAGTAAACCCGTTGAATAGACCTATGCTGCTACAGTGCCATCATTATGCCAGTTTGGTGTAGTGGTCAAGTGCGCGGACTCTAATCTGGGAGAACCGGGTTTGATTCCCCACTCCTCCACTTGCGCCTGGCTGGGTGACCTTGGGCAAGCCGTAGCTCTGAGAGGAGCTGTTCTTGAAAAAAGAGCAGTTTGTGTCAGAGTTCTCTCAGCCCCACCTACCTCACAGGGTGTCTGTTGTGGGCAGGCCCGTAGCTAACAACTTTTTGCTCGGGGGGCCCCAGGTTTTTTTCAGGGGGCCCACCAATGTTCCCTCTAAGCTGTGGAGTTTTGTGAGCAAAACTTCTACTTTGTGAGATACTGCCATTAAAGTTGTGAGTGAGCGATTTGGCTACTGCATTAAATTGGTTTGCTCTGTACTGTAGCCATCCTTCCTGAACCAAGACAAAAAGGTATGAGCTAGAGGCTAAAAAACTGTGAGCTAGCTCCCCCCCCCCCAGAGAAAACCAAGCCCAGATATGAGCACCCTATTAACCAACTTATGGTGGGGTTTTCAGGGCAAGAGAAATTCAG